TACCTGAATGACCGAGCTTTGCTCGGTTTTAATTTAAAAAAATTATGCAATTAGTTTAATTAAAATTTTCGTATTTTTAAAAAATACTAAAAAAGGGCTCGAATTAATAGATTTTCTCACAAAAGAACGGAACTTGAAAAATAAGGAAAAAAAAAAAGGAAAAAAAGTCGAACCGAAGACAGGACGCGAACCAAGGCATTACGATTTTGTGACCGCTCGATATCCACTTGAGCTTTTACGACCATTTACACAACGTCAAAATTTACCTTCTTATATTGTAGCAGTTTTTCATTGCCTGAAAACACGGACGAAAAGACATTTTCTAAAAATAAATCCGAGCTAGATATATTTATTGCCCCCGAAACTCCCTGGATACAAAATTTTATGAAAATCGTTGGAGCCGTTTCTGAGATTCCGATTATGTATATATCATCATCATCCTCATTACAGCCCTTCACAAGTCCACTGCAGAACGTAGGCCTCCCCCAAGTAACGCCACAAAGCACGGTCCTGAGCCACCTGCATCCATCGACTTCCTGCATGTCTTACCAGGTCGTCACTCCATCTAGTAGGGGGTCGCCCTACACTACGCCTACCTGTACGAGGCTTGCCACTCGAGAACCTATCTTCCCCATCGGTTATCGGTTCTTCGAGCTATATGGCCGGCCCATTGCCACTCCAGCTTACTAATCCGTTGGGCTATATCGGTCACTCTGGTTTTACTGCGGATATCCTCATTTCTGAGTCTATCACGCAGAGAAACTCCGAGCATAGCCCTCTCCATAGCTCGCTGAGCGACCTTAAGCGTCCTCATACGGCCAGCAGTGAAGGACCACGTCTCAGATCCGTAAGTCATCACTGGCAACACGCTTTAGTTTTCAGAGATTGAGGTATACCTGACGAGAAGATGTGTCATAATTTCCCGAACGCTGCCCAGCCGAGTTGAATCCATCCAATTGACCTCTCGGTCGAAGTTGGACTTACCTAGTCGGACTATTTGTCCCAGGTAAACGTACTCTTCAACAACTTCGAGCATAGTGCTCCCAACAACTACCGTCATAGGTGTGACATGGACATTAAACATGATCTTTGTTTTGTCCATGTTCATCTTAAGACCTATCCGTTGGGAGGCACTATTGAGGTCATTGAGCATAGTGCTTAAGTCCTCCAGCGATTCTGCCATAAGGACTATATCGTCGGCAAATCGAAGGTAAGTGATGTACTCGCCATTGATGTTAATACCGTATCCTTTCCAGTGCAGTAGCTTGAAAACGTCTTCCAACGGAGCGGTGAAGAGTTTCAGGGATATAACGTCACCCTGTCTTACACCTCTCTGCAGTTGGATAGGTTTTGAGTTCTGGTTCTATACTCGGATAACCATCGTAGCCCTACTGTACAAACACTTCAGCACTTCGATATACCGACAGTCAACTTGGCATCGCTGAAGGGACTGTAGCACCACCTAAATTTCTACAGAATCAAAGGCTTTCTCAAAGTCCACATACGTCAGGCAAAGTGGCAGATTGTACTCTTCGGTCTTCTGTACAATCTGCCGCAGGGTATGTATGTGGTCTATGGTACTGAAGCCTTTTCGGAAACCGGCTTGTTCAGGAGGCTGGAAGTCGTCGATTCTGCGTGCGAGACGATTCGTAATGACTCTCGAAAACAGCACGTAGACGCGGCTCAGAAGGGAAATCGGTCTGTAGTTCTTCAGGAGAGCGTTGTCGCCTTTCTTAAAGAACAAGACCACCGCGCTTCTGCTCCACGCCTCCGGAGTAGTGCCACCATGGAGGACGGAATTGAACTTCAAGACTTCAAGTACCGGTGTTCCACTCGCTTTCAGAAGCTCCGCTGTAATTCCATCCTCGCCCGGGGCCCTGCCGTTTTTAAGGTGCTGGAGAGCCATTCTAATCTCGCTCAGACTAACGTACGGGATATCATCGGAATAGTGTCGGGTAAGAATTACTTTTGGATCGTTACTCGCACTTGCGTGTGGCTCCAACGATGATGTGTACAGCTGCCCATGGAACCTCTCAAGCTCACTCAGAATCTCAGGTGTCCCGGAAACGATGTTGCCACACTCAGTCTTCAGCTTTGACAGTTGGCTCTTTCTGGCAGACAGATCTCTGGCAAAGACTTTGGAGCCCTGGTTAATAAAAGTATATATATATATATATATATATATATATATATATATATATATATATATATACAATATATACAAGAATTGCCCGTTTAAAGGTATAGGATTTACGCGAAGACTACACATTGATTAAAACTACATTTACGGATTTTATCGCGTTTATTTTTGCTTTTAATTACTTTTATTTTTAATTCCCGACGTTTTGGGCGCTTTCCACCATTTATTTGCCAGTACATGAACCATATAACAATGGTTCAGGTACAACACACAGTCAACTCTATTTAAGAACATCACTAGGATGCGGTTGGAGCTGGCCCGAATCCTACGTACCAGTGATGTACACCGTTTACGTATAATCGCGTAGAAGCAATCCACTCGCGCTTCAACGAATATCTTCGATACGCTGCAGAACCCATTAGCACCCGAAATGCATTATTGTAGTGCAAGCGCAGGGCTCTGTACCGCTGTTGAGAGTAGTTCACTCAGAGACTGCACGTGTAGAGGGATGTACAATAAGCTTTATACAGTGTAATCTTAACTTCTGTTGTGCAGCGATCAAACCTTCGGGCTATCATAATTAGCTCCTACAGACAATGACTTGCGCTCTCTAATAATATCTAAATTGTCCCTTAGGTCAGAGGTTACCAAATGATCCACAATACTTAAAATACTCTTCTCAAGAAAAGAAGAAAAATTTCAAATACACACAAGTTTTCACAAATAACCTTTTTACCATTACTTCTGATTTTCTGATAATTTTATATCAAATGTCAATAAAAAAGTTTGGAAAATCTAAAATTGCACTACGCATAATTCTCATATGATGGAGAAAAAACGTAGAAAAAATTGACAATCAACAATTGAAAATATTTATTTCACTATTACTATGTTATTGTTATTGAGATTAAATTTTTTTTTTGTATAACTGTTAAATTGAGAAAAAATTGTTAAAGTTGATTTCCGATCGTTTTAGATAATTCTTTTGAAAGCTTTTTCAATATGAGGAACAGTAACAAGAACAAAGAGTCAATCAATTTTCGTTCGATAAAATGACTTTACGCATAGAATGGAGAGATAGCGGTTTATAAAGCAATTTTATTCGAAAGAAAATATTCTAGAACAACATCGATACGTGTACTCTTTTTTCATTTTGATTACAGCGCATTAGTAGAGCCACGCTGCAGCTGTTTGTAGCTATTGTAGCACGACCATATGTTGGATTGGCTCGACCGGGGATGGACCACACTCTCACAGAATACCAGCGTAAAATAGCAACTTAATGCTGATGGGTTTCGTATGGTGAGTGTAGAGAATTGGAGACCTGTTTTACTGGAATCGAGGCATTTCATCTTAGTTCTGAGGGGTGAAAACGCATCTGCATTTTGTTTCTTAATCGAGGTTAATTGTAGATGTCTACGGGCCACAGTATGCACTTACCATCAGGTGGACTTCGTGCTCGTTTGTTTCTTTAGTCTATAAAAAAATTAGGTTTCAAATGTCTAAAAATAAGAATCGTAACTATTATTGGCGATAAAATCTAATATATGTGGTTGAAAATTATCATATTAAATATATCATTTGCCGTGAAATCCTTTGAAGTGTTATTTTTGTTAAACAGTACGAAATTATATTTTTATCTCTTATATTATAAATAAAAGATTGCCGAAAATTAAAAAAAACCAAGCTATAAATACGTACACTGTTCAGACCGACAAAACATTTAGATTATAGACTTAGAATATACTAGCATAGTATAGATGATGGCGAGTCCTGGAACTACATATATTTTACCTAGGAAATCTGCCAATTTTTTGGCTAACTCGGCAATATGTGGCATGTCACTCAGGGTTGCCAGAAAGTCACTAACAACGGCCTCATTTACTCTTTTTTTTTTGTCGAGTCATATTTTCCGAAAATAGAAAAGAGATTGTGTAGCGTAAGCGAATATATACACTATTCATCACGGGGGCCCCGAGCACGGACCCCGTGTGCCCTTATGGTAAAGACGCTACTGATCTGTATTTTCATCCCATTTTAATCTGGATGCCTTAAATGCTGCGAAAAGAATGAATGGGCTTTTGTAAAACTAAATCAGTGCATTTTACCATCTTCGGCTGCATCATCGCGTACCATCAGGTAGGATTATAGCCAAGCTCATAATAGTAAAATAAATATGTCAAATTTAAATATTTATCTCAATGAAATAATTATTTTCTGCATTTGATAACATTTTCCCCGCAGCTACAAACTATTAGCAAAATGTTAATTTCATTCGTTAATTTTCTGGGTGTAAAGAGGATTGAAGTTTTCGGATAACAATTTTGAATGCAGTATGTACTTAATACCTTAATTACGCTATCACTCGTGCCACGTTCCATAAGCCGTTTTTAAGCGAGAGATTAAGCCGTGGTTTCCATCACTTCGCACATCCATGCGCCCTAGCGATGAATAATTCCCGTTTTCATTTGTTTTTAAAGCCGATTAATTAGTGATTTTAAAATCACTCAAACCCAGATCGTGACTGTGGTAACTTAAGTGATGAAGTTAAAAAACATGTTTAAATATTTTATATTTTATATAGGTACTTGAATTAGGAGAAAAATTGTAGGCGCGAACAAAAGTATACTCACTCACTCACCTAGAACTGGATGAGCTAAGATCACAAATGAGAGAAACATGATTTTTTACGTAGTATAGCCACGCTGCAGTTATAGGTCAACACAACCGGGGTAGGACCGGCATAAAATAGCAGCTTAATGCTACTATGTTTCGTACAGTGAGTCTAAGGAACTCTTTACCGGAAATGAGGCATTTCATCTGTGTCCTCAGGGGTGATCTCCATCAAAAAAGCTAATAGTTACCATCGTACAGAACGCCGATGCGTAGCAACCGCGACGAAGGCTCCTCTACCAACAACAAGATTGTATGACGGGCATAGTTTTAGCTCTTGATTCTGTAAACAAAATGGTATTTTTAGTGTGAATGGTAGTGCTATAAAATTTTGATAATCAGCGACGTAGACAAATATACATAATTTGGGAATGAAATTTATGAATGTATATTTTTTATTTTGCAATTTAAATTTATGCGACAAGATCAGATCATATAGTCTACTTAGCGATAAGTCGATGTGCTATCCCGTAAATACCTATTCTCGATTAATAATTGAAATGCAAATGCCCAGTTACCCTTATAACGAAAACAAAATTTCTTGGAAGTAGTTAAAAGGGTATCCGGTTCTCTTTATGCAATATACGGAACACACCGTATGAAACACTAAATATTATGCTATTTCAGGCTGGTGTTTGTGATGGACTGTAATAATGATGATGATGATGATGATTCTGCAAGTGAGTGGTACTTCCCCGGTATACGTCAATATTGTCACTAAATATAATATACCTTAGTAATATTTATACGCAATTTTAACGGTTATCAAAACGAAATTAATGGTGTTTGCTTTATTCAAAATTAAGTACTAGGAAGGCCAAATAAAAATGAAGACAAAAGCACTTGCCAAACTTATTAAATTTTCATCAAATACAGGAAAGGAATCAGAAAGAGGAGGATCTCTTTCTTATAAATTTTCTTCGTAGCAGGAAGTTACATAGTAACAAGAAAACATAAATTGTGGTATGTCTCACACCAAAAGAGTTCGAGTAATTTTTATCATTTTGCATTTAAAAGAATCAGTCTCCCTAAGTCTAAGCTCTTCTATGGAACTTTCTTAAACAGATTTAATCAATATTTTATTCATTTTTGATTACTAAACATTAACCTGTTCTATTAATTAAAACATAAACGAGTACCTATTTAAGTCAGTGTAAAAATTGTTATTTGTATTATCTATAGCAAGTATTAGTAGTATATAGTAACAGTATACTATCACATAAATATTACAACAAAATCCATTCAAGCAATAGGAGGATACACACTTAGAGCAACGAAAGTTGGTCGATAACCCTAAGTCTTTAGTATCTTCCACAAAAATCCGTATAAAGTTTTGTTTTGTAGTAGGTAATAGAAAAGTTTATAGTGTCGCTTACACTTAAATAATGTACTGTATTCGTGTTACAATTGTGGAATTTACATGATACAGAAAACAGTCAGTATATTTCAGTCAATTCTACAGTGGGTGCAACGGTTTCACTAACGGTATTATTACCTACGCAGACCAGCTGGGCTAGCCAAGTGACTTTCTAGCCAAGCGAAAGACGAATAGAAATTACAAAATATTTCAACGTCAAGACACAGCCCTCAAGTAACTTAATTTATTTAATGTTTTCTTATTAGCGAATTGTAGAATGTGAACTTGGGTAGCCCTGCCGGAAGTGGAACATCCGGATGCACGATGGCGAGAAAAGATATCTAGGCCCAATAATGTTTCGAAATCGGTTCATGAGTACTACATTAAGAAATGATATTATTCCACAACTTAAAAGAAGTGACCCACATGTTAGAACTGTACGAAGACGTTTTTTTGCATCTGCTTTTTAAACCATTAGGAACTAGAAATTGCCCCAAAACGAGAGAGAGGGTATCATGCTGCAAGACGAGAAGAGAGTTCGCACCCGAACACATAACAGACGCTAAGTAATGTTCTTAAGCGATTTCAGATTTTTTTATAAACGTAAAGCAAATAATGTATACGATCAAGAGTCATTTAGCTACCTCCATATTTAAGAAAGTTTTCATCAGCCGGCAGTTATGTGTGCCGGTATTTCTTTTGAAAGCCAGTGCGGCGAGTCAGTGATTATACAAAATAGCACTTTGGCTGTTGAAAGATGTTAAATAGAAATCAAATAGATTGGGAGATGATGATATGAGGTATCCGTACTGCATTATATTTAATGAATAGCTGTTAACGATCTATTGCTGTCTGTGTGATATTAATTTATTTTACATCAAAATATAATTTTATTTATATTATTTATTAATTATTTTACTTAGCTCAACGGATTAGTAAGCTGAAGTAGTAATGGGCCGGCCATATACCTCGAAAAACCGACAACCGTTGGGGAAAAAAGGTTCTCGAGTGGCAGCTTCGTACCGGTAGGCGAAGTGTAGGGTGTAAGGGTGACTAGATGGAGTGACGACCTGGTAAGACATGCAGGTAGTCGATGAATGCAGGTGACTCAGGACCGTACTCTGTGGCATACCTTGGGGGAGGCCTATGTTCAGCAGTGGATTTGTGAAGGGCTGTAATGATGATGATGATGATGATGATTAATTATTTTTATTAATTATTATTATTAATTATTTAATTAAACAACGCGTATTTATTATGAGCTGTGATGATCAGAATCGTGATCAGGATGCTAGTGCTAATATAAAATTAATAAATTATTTTATTGTTAGCGCTCCTTGGTAAGAGCACTATTTATTAAATTTTCATTTCAATCAGCCGTTTACAAAATGATCAAAGTTACAATACAGTATTCCGTTAAATAGATATATGCATGCTAATAAAGGCATGTTAAAAAGGATTGTGACTATGTACGATTTCCTTATTTTCTATTCTTTATTAATGATCATTTTTACTATCGCTGTTGTCTATCCTGAGCCGTTTTATTTATTGTAGGTATAGAGGGTTCTTAGTTTATAACATAATTTATTTATGCAAAAAAAAATAGGAACAACTCAATGATTGATTTTTAGACTGTAAAATTTAATCTGGTGTCCAATAATTTTGATCAATAAGTTTGTAAGGAGAAGCGCCGATATGCTCTTAATATTGTCTGTTCCCATACGTCTAAAATAGTCTATAATTTCATGGAAGAAGGCGGCATATGATGCATACAATGTCCAGCACGTATTGGGGATTAAAACCGTATTGAGCAAGCTTTAATCGAGTTTAGGTGAGGACAAATAAATCAAGAGGTTGTATTTATCGAGAAAATAATTGCTTTTAATTCTAGTAGGGTTTTAACAGTGTCAAGCATAGATAACATTTATTAGATATTATGTGTTCAACGCTTTTTTCAACAAGAATACATTTGTTACATATGAATAAAATACAAATTAAATCAAATATTTCGTATTTATGTTACGTAGCCAATTTACTCGAGAACCTTTCTTCCCCATCGGTTATCGGTTCTTCGAGCTATATGGCCGGCCCATTGCCACTTCAGCTTACTAATCCGTTGGGCTATGTCGGTCACTCTGGTTTTACTGCGGATATCCTCATTTCTGAGTTTATCACGCAGAAAAACTCCGAGCATATAGCCCTCTCCATAGCTCGCTGAGCGACCTTGAGCGTCCTCATACGGCCAGCAGTGAAGGACCACGTCTCTGATCCGTAAGTCATTACTGGCAACACGCACTGGTTGTACACTTTAGTTTTCAGAGATTGAGGTATACCTGACGAGAAGATGTGTCGTAATTTCCCGAACGCTGCCCAGCCGAGTTGAATCCGTCGATTACCGATGGGGAAGAAAGGTTCTCGAGTGGCAGCCTCGTACCGGTAGGCGTAGTGTAGGGTGACCCCCCACTAGATGGAGTGACGACCTGGTAAGATATGCAGGAAGTCGATGGATGCAGGTGGCTCAGGACCGTGCTTTGTGGCATTACTTGGGGGAGGCCTATGTTCAGCAGTGGACTTGTGAAGGGCTGTAATGAATGAATGAATGAATGAGCCAATTTACATACTTAAAGTAAAGTTACAACCTATATACGTCCCACTGCTGCGCACAGGCCTTCCCTTATTTCTGAGAGGGTTTTAGGGCAAGGAAGTATTCAAGTTCTGCCGCGCTGCCCCAATGCGTGTTGGCGAACTTCACACGTCTTCGAAATATTTTTTCTTATTCCTTAGACATGCAGGTTTCCTCTCGATGTTTTCCTTCACCGCCGAGCACGTGGTAAATGAGCACTTAAAATGGCAATTAACAATTTCATTGGTGCCGGCGGGGATCGAACCCCATTACTCGCGTTCTGTTATATATACAGCGAGCTTTAGCCATCTGAGCGACTACGGCTCTTATTTATTTTTATTATAATATATATTTATCAGTAAATATGTAGTAAATATTTACATATTTACTAATAAGCAAAGACTCGTTCATATGTAAACGTACATTTTATTTTTTGGCTATTTAAAATGTGTAAAATTTTCGAATTAGAAAACAGCGTCCCGGTTGCTTACTGCGTTTATGGTGATAGCCTTGTTGGTCTAGTTCGTAAATGCGACTGCCGTTCGTGAGTGCCCGGGTTAAAATCCCGGGTGCGATCAAAAATCGATCGATTTTTCATAGTTAACAAAGGCTACCTTCAACTTTTAAATATTAATTTTTGGTCCGATCTACGCAAAACAAGCGAAGAGTGTCTTGGATTCTTGCAGTAGCATGCTTGGGGTTGGATTTAATTTTATTAATTATGGGTTCCCAAGCAGATGGTAGCACCTAGTCAATTTTTCTATTGAAATTAATGTTTTTTTAATATCAATAGCCTCGCGAATCATGCTTCGTATGAATCGGTGTTCTTTTGCGAGGATTTGTGGTCTATCAAATCTGATATAAATGGTTGGGACGATCCTACACATGTTGACGTACTGCAGAAAAATCGGTTCGATCTTCTGACAAGGTATGAGGTTGCACCTATTTGTGGACACACACTCCTGTATTATAATTCTGTACTACGAAGAGGCCCACTTTCCACTGAGACCATTACTTTTTTACATTTTCTACATACTAGGGCCATGCTGCAGCTATACTACAGTTGCGGTACAAATTATTCGGCTCGACCGGGGTAGGACCACGCTCTCACAGAATACCAGCGTAAAATGGCAGCTTTTAATGCTGCTATGATTCATATGGTGAGTGTAGAGCACCGGAGACCCTTTTTACTGTCTGCCTTAAGGATGTATTCACTTTCCAAGTGCCGATTAGCTCAAAATAGTACTTTTTAAACCTGTTATATCCATCAACCGTTTATCTCACACAAATGTTAATTAAATTAACTTAACTTAAGTAAAAATGTTGGTCTTAATAGTATTCTTCTAAATATTTCTTTTATACTAACGCAGTATTTAAGGACGCTATCGAGAAAACTAAACTTTTATTAACTTCCCTTTAAGCGTCAATTTCAAAGCTTAAAATATCTGAAATCAGTGACAAGTTTAAGAAACGACAAAACGTAATAAATTTGAAAGACCCAAGGAAAATACGTATAAGAAAAAATAATATAAAAATTAGAGTAAATATATATTATTACCCACCTATTATACAATTCGGTCGATCTGAAGATAAAATTATGGTATTTTTGCGTATTATAATTGCTTTACGATAATACATACTACACACTATGAAATAATGGTACATATAGCATAATTATACTACGAAATCAATATAATGATTATAGTATTATCTATAAGTCTTAATCCTTTAGTAAGTGAAATCTATTATTATTATTTTATAATGGATGACAATATTTATGCGAAAATGGAAAGAAGTTATGTACTGTAAGGCGAAAAATAAATATTGTGACACATGTTCCCGATCAGCAAACATAAAAATTGAGTTATCTTAATAAATGTGTTTCAAGAAATTTTGCTATGCTTATGTCTATGCTTGTATCGGATTTTAAGTACATATGTTTGTATCAGAAATAGCCGAACTTATGGTAATATTAATTTTTTTATATACTTGACGCACTTTACAGCACCCATGGGTTCTGAGATGTTCAACGTCTAGATGTCATAGTTACCCGCGGTTATTATATAAATATATATATATATATATATATATATATATATATATATATATATATATACTGGAGTAATGCACATAATGATTTCTTATATTTACCCCACACATTTAAATAAAACTAGTTTTTACAGATTTTATCGCGTATATTAACTTATTTATATACCCGAGGTTTCGAGTACTCTACTGAGATGTTCAACGACCAGATGTGATAGTGAGATCATATAACAACTTTAAATTTTACTTCAGAAAATATAGGACAAAAACGTATTCCGCTGCCTAAATGTATTGCAAAAAGAAAATCTATACTTGCGAAATATGATACTGCCCAGCTTTCATGAGTAAAATGCGGAACTAGTTTTGATAAAATTGACATGGTTGGATTTCTGGTTTAGGTAAAAAAGTAAACTATGACAGCTAAGTAGGCTTTACAAATTTCATCGTTGTTGACCGTTAACACTGGTTAAACTGCGAACTTGGGTAAAAAGCTATGAAAAGAATTGCTAAGCCACTCAACCGATTTTTGGAGAGAATTCAGATAGCTGGAAACATTCAAAAGGCTAGGCTATCTTTTATCCTCAAAATTTACTATAGAGGACTCGGTATGACTGATTTTCACGCAGACGAAAGCTAGTATTCATTGCCTTTAAAATGCGTTCAGTTAATTGCCTACGTTGTACAACATCCACAAATTTCAATACGTTGCAACGGATACAAAAGTAACAAAACATATTATTGGTTCATTAAGACTATCATTAGTACAGTACTTACTTCGTTTAATAAATAAAGTAGTATTTACAAAATAATAAAATTAATCATTAAACTGTCAGTGAAGTGCGGTGACCTTGTTCTTCAAGAAAGGTGACAACGCTTGCTTGAAGAACTACAGATTTCCCTTCTGAGCCGCGTCTACGTGCTGTTTTCGAGAGTCATTACGTATCATCTCGCACGCAGACTCGACGACTTCCAGCCTCCCGAACAAGCAGGTTTCTGAAAAGGCTTCAGTACGATAGACCACATACATACCCTGCGGCAGATTGTACAGAAGACCGAAGAGTACAATCTGCCACTTTGCGTGGCGTATGTGGACTATGAGAAAGCTTTGATTCCGTCGAAATTTGGGCGGTGCCACAGTCCCTTCAGTACTGGACTGGAAAGGACACAGTATTAACACACGCAAATCATGCACACACATACACACACACACACACACACACACACACACACACACACACACACACACACCACACATAAACACACTCACAAGTTATGTATGTAAAGTTTATTTAGCTTAATCTTCTTTTATGTTCTATTTTTTGTTTTTTTTTTTTGTTTTGTTATAAGCTTTTTCCTCACTAATTATTTAAATAATTTTATGTCTTATAAAATTGTAAAATGGGTTGAAGAGCGAGGCATCCCCAATACGAGTATGGAAATTACTCTCTGGGGCGTCTCAAAGACATGTATATTCAAAATTTTTGAGAAATAAAAGTATTTATTATTATAATTATTTGTGGGGTATCTATATAGTTTTCTCATCTGGTTGGGATGTATAAATATATAATTATAAACGAAAATGAAAAGATAAACATACAAAAATATCAATAAAATAAAATAAATATGAAAATACATAAATAAATAAAAGCCCAACCAGATGGAAGCCCTCGGCAGGGGAGACCAAACGGCCGAGGGTTAGGGGGAAAGGGAAAGAAACCGGCGGACGATGCGGGCGGTATCGAGGAGCACCGCCTTCTGCATTTGAGCCTGGAGCGGTCCGCCACGTAGTCCCAGCCGCCTCAGATGACCCGAGAGGCTGACTGGGATTAGCCCGTTTGCAGAGACGACTACAGGAATAATTTCGGTCGGCAGACCACCCCACATGTCGGTCACCTCGTGAGCCAGGTCCAGATATTTTGTTTGCTTATCTGTTTCGGCTTTCACGAGGTTCTCGTCACATGGAATGGTAATGTCGACCAAAAATATCCTTGACTGTGCCCGGTCCATCAGCACAATATCAGGCTTATTCGCAAGAATAGTCCTGTCTCTGATGATGGCCCGGTCCCAATAGAGCCTGGCGCGATCATTTTCGAGCACGGCTTCCGGCAAGTACTTGTAATACGGCAACTTCCGATCCACGAAACCGTATTTCAGAGCGAGCTCCTGGTGTAGAATTCTGGCTACTAGGTTGTGCCTGTACAAGTACTCAGAGTTAGAAAGCGCCGAACAACCGGAGATGACATGCCTAAGTGACTCACCGGGATGGCGACAAGCTCGACAGATGTCGATGGTGCCATCCTTTAGGATGTATCTCCGATAGTTGTTGGTCTTAATAACCTGATCCTGTATTGCACAGACAAAACCCTCGGTTTCCCCGAAGAGGTCACCAAAGCGTAGCCAGTGGAGAGAGGTTACTGTGTCTACGAAAGGCCCATGTAGAGACTTGTAGAACCTCCCGTGGAGCTCCTTCTCCTTCCATACGGTCTCCCGGTCGGAAATTGTCTGCACTGCCGGGTCTTGCCATTGCTCGTTGGCTAAGGATAGAGGGGTAAGTCCTTTATCACAAGAAATGACGTCCTTATAGAATGGATCATCCGATCTTGCCAGGAAGTAATTACGGAGGCTGCACACTTCGCGATTATGCATGGTGAGCGCGCTCAAGAAGCCACGCCCACCATGCTTTCGCGGCAAGTACAGCCTCATTACCGACGATCTCGGATGATGCATCCTGTGGGACGTCATGGTAGTGCGGACTTTTCTATCCAGGGCGTTAAGTTCAGTCTGAGTCCACCTGAGTATGCCAAAGGTATACATGAGGACAGGTATGACCCAGCCGTTATATGCTTGTGTCTTATTCACACCGGACAAAAGGCTGTTAAGCACTTTGGTCAAGCGTGCATAAAACACGTCGCAAACTGACTGTCTCATACCAGCCTCATCGATACCAATGTTCTGTGACATACCCAGGTATCGGTATGTTTCAGCCTCGGAAAGGGTCCTTAAGTTGACGGGCATAGATAAGTCTATGCCCTCAGAGTTAGCAACCCTACCCCTCTCAACATGGAGGACCGCACACTTATCCGTCCCCAGCTCCATTCCAATGGAATTGCTAAATTCACAAGTGATGTTTAGCAGTTCCATAAGATGGGAGCGACTGGAGGCGAATAACTTGAGGTCATCCATATAGAAAAGGTGGGTCACTTTTGTCCCTCCTTTCCGTAGCTGAAATCCCCTCCCGGAGCCCTCCAGTAAGGTACTGAGAGGGTTCAGAGAGAGGCAGAACCATATTGGACTCAGACAATCGCCCTGGAAGATACCCCTTCTTATCCTTATGTGGTTCTCCGCAGCCATCATCCGCTCGCCCAGATGACAAAGGATCGTACTCCACTGCCCCATACACTGCTCGAGGAAGTCTCTAACTGTACAGTCTATCTTGTACAGTTCGAGGACTCTCTTTAGCCATGTATGGGGCACCGAGTCGAATGCCTTTCTGTAGTCTATCCAGGCGGCGGAGAAGTTCCGACGGTTGCGTTTCACCACTTTGCCAATGACCGCGTCAATGAGGAGTGGTTCCTTGGTTCCACGACCGCCGCCCCGACATCCATTTTGAGCGCGCGACATCACCTGATTTGAGTCCAGGTGACGAGTGATTCTCGCGCTCAAAATGGATGTTAGTGTCTTATATATGGTCGGTAGACATGTGATGGGGCGGTATTTGCTCGGGTCTGTGGTACTCTGGCCTTTAGGAACCAAATGGGTGATCCCAGTAGTGAAGAGGCTCGGGAGCGACTTCTGGTTGAGAACCTCTTGAAACTGTCGGGCGAGCACAGTGTGACACACCACGAACCCCTTCAGCCAGTAGTGATGCAGCCCGTCGAGTCCCGGACTTTTCCAGTTCGGGGCCCTACGGACCGCCTCAGCTACGTCATCCGGCGTTATGGTGACGGGGTCCATGGGCGTAATACCCGCACACTGACTCGCCACAACTTCCGTCCAAGGGCCCTCGTTGTGGTTTACGGGCTCTGACCACAGGCTGCGCCAGAATGCGACCGTGTCGGCCTGATTCGATAGTACTGGGCCCGTTCCACTTACCATTGGTCGCTCCAATGATTTATAGAGCCTCTTCTGATCACTCTGGAAGAGACGATTCTGGTTGAACCGTGTCGACCTCTCGGTATATCGCCGAATTCGCTTTCCCCAAGCAGCGATTCTCTGCTTCAGGTCGTCTATGCGCTCCGTCAGTTTTTGCATTATATCCGGCTGGGACAAACTAACATTTGTCCCAGCAAACGCCATCCTGACGGTGCGCACAATCCTTGGCCTGGTATTGCCTGACCTGAAGCATATCAGTCTGCCGATGAGGGCCCTAGCCTTTGCGATACGTTCTTCAATTCTTGTTCTCCAGGCTGGGATAGCACTACTTTGTCCAGTAGTGCGTCCAGCCGTGGAAAGTTTGGCGCCTATAATACGGCAGACTGCCAGTGCGGCGCCAAAGAGAATTGAGTCCGTCTCGCAAAGGTCCCGGCTGGCTTCCAAATAGGTCACCAGCATTGGGTTCAGAGCCCTCACGACAGCCCGATTCCGCTTGCTTAGGGCTATGCGGGGAAGTCGCGGTCGATTTTCGAGAGGCGTACTGCGCGTTTCCATAATCGCCTCTTCCAATGTACTCCTCATTTGCTCTATTTCTAGTTCCTGGGTGAATGTTCCATCATCATTTGAATCAGCAACCACTGGGGTATTCTCGGCGGCATCCACGTGTGCGGGTTGTTCTGCAACTTGTGGCACCGCACCCTCAGTCGTAGCGTTTTCATTTGATGAGGGAACAGCCTCACGTCGTAGCCGTTCGAGTTCGGCGCCATCAAATATATTTGAGCGTAAGATATACCGAACTCGGTCTGCCAGGTTTTGCTCGGTGACAGTAATAGATGGCTCCAGCTCAGTAAAAAGACGATGCATCCTAGCCCGATACGCGAAACCTCCAATTTCTCCCCCTTTCGCCCTAAAATACGCCCGCAATGCGTTTGAATTCATATTGATGGTCCATCGCATGCGGCGTACTCCACCAGTGGCGGGTGCCGATTGCTGGGCCTGCGAAGACCCTGCCGACACCAAGCAAGCTGGTGGGGATGATGGATGCGAGGGGCTGCTGGGTGGTCGTGCAGCACCTCGCGCTCGGCTGGCGGTTCGCATGCTGTCGCGTCCAGCGCCAGCTCCAGACGCGCCCTGACGACCTCCAGGCAGCGGCCCTTTGCGCAATCTTCTATGTTCCATCATCCTTATTTTATTTATTATTATTATTATTATTATTAACATCAATGGCGAGTAAATCACTCACCTTCGACTTGCCGACGATATAGTCCTTATGGCAGAATCGCTGGAGGCTATAAGCACTATGCTCAATAACCTCAATGGTGTCTTCCTACGGAAAGGTCTTAAAATGAACATGGACAAAACAAAGATCATGTTTAATGTCCATGTCACTATGCTCGAAGTTATTGACAAGTACGTTTACCTGGGACAAATAGTCCGACTAGGTAAGTCCAACTTTGACCGAGAGGTTAAACGACGGATTCAACTCGGCTGGGCAGCGTTCGGGAAATTACGACACATTTTCTCGTCAGGTATACCTCAAACTCTGAAAAATATACAACCAGTGCGTGTTGCCAGTGATGACTTACGGATCTGAGATGTGGTCCTTCACTGCTGGCCGTATGAGGACGCTCAAAGTCGCTCAGCGACCTATGGAAAGGGATATGCTCGGGGTTTCTCTGCGTAATAAACCCAGAAATGAGAATATCCGCAGTCGAACTAGAGTAACCGACATAGCCCAACGGATTAGTAAGCTGAAGTGGCAATGGGCCGGCCATATAGCTCGAAGAACCGATAACCGATGGGGAAAAAAAGGTTCTCGAGTGGCAGCCTCGTACCGGTAGGCGTAGTGTAGGGCGACCCCCCACTAGATGGAGTGACGACCTGTTAAGACATGCAGGAAATCGATGGATGCAGGTGGCTCAAGACCGTGCTTTATGACATTACTTGGGGGAGGCCTATGTTCAGCAGTGAACTTGTGAAGGGCTTTAATGATGATAAATTATAATGGTTTTATATTAATGTGTTGCCTCGTTGGTCTAGTGGTTGTAGTTTGCGACTGCTGATCATGAGGTCCTGGGTTTGAATCCCGGGTTGAGACAAAAAAATAATTATTGAATTGTGAGATGAAAGGCTGTAATGAAGATAATGATGATGATGAATCATTAAACAATCTAGTAGACATTTTTCAACTTTTGTCCGGCGAAAATTTTCAAAGCACGTTTTGATACTCGTATTTTCTATAGATTCATTTTAAAAACGTTTTTATTTACCTTGGAAAAATATTTGTTTAGTGAAAATTTTCATATTAATTCTTTATATTAATTTTGTATATTGCATTTGGCATTTTTAACAACTCAGATATCCATCAAGAAATGATATCGAATGTTGATATATTTTTGAAATTTAATTTTACATACGATTTCTTATAGGATATTCCATTTAGTTAAATATAATCTCAGGAAACAATTGTTACACCCTATGAGTGATTACCACGTTTTGAGCTTATATCTTCTTCAGTGCTGTCATCTGTAGCCTCGTTTTTCCAGTCTTCCTACCAATCCTTTTCAAATGATCACACTTACTGGTGCTAATGTTATGTATACAATTCCATTATGTAGAATTACATTGTCTATTAAAAATCTTTTATGATGATGTATAAGAAGTCAGTCTGAAAATATTAGTTAAGCCTTCCGTGGCTTCTATCCGCATTTTTATGTCCGGATCTCTAACGTTCGGTCTCAGTTTCCTAAACGCGACTGCTGTTCGTGAGCTCCCGGGTTCGAAACTCGGGTGGGGTCAAATGATCAGTTATTCGATATTCTGACAAAGTATGAAGTTGTACCTATTTTGCACACACACTCCTGTACTTCAATCCTGTACTACTAAGGGGGCCAGTTTCCATTGTGACCGGTCATGACCGGAAATCTGTCTGGAAGACATTAACATTCATGCTACTTATTTTTAGGGTAATTTGTTATCATTATTTGTGGTTCTTTAGCCAATACTGCATTTATAATATATTTGAAATATCGTAAGTCTAGGTACTTGCAGTTGTTATATTTATTTCGTATCAATGCCGATGAATAAGTATTGATCTACGAGAGAATCATCACTAAAGCGACTTTTGACTTTATCTTCTAATTAACGAATTTCTTATTTATTTCTCTACTGTACCTTTAGACCGTTACAGTTTGTTATTTTCGAAAACTTTTTCATAGATTCAGTACACGCAGGTATCAAAATAACTCATTTTGCGGCAATTTATGCGGGGGTGTTCAAGGCAAGGCATAAGTGAATAGGATTTATGCTACGCGTTACGCTTAGACAATGCGATTAATCACCACTTAACATTCACCACTTAACATCGGTTGGGTTTGTAATTAAGGACTGACTTATAATAATTAATATTTGCATTATTACTAGGCTGCTTACTGTGTTTATATCACCCTGCTATGAAAATCTTCAACAACAAACAGCACAAAAAATCTATTTCTTTTTTGACACATTTCTGTTTAATCCTGTTCTTTCTGACAGTTCTTTGTCCTTCTTTTATCAAACTAATTATAGAAAACAGCAACACTGGATGCCTAGGATTTTAGAAATTATCGATGTGCTTTGATTGCGAGTAAACGATATTTTATTGAATACATTTGCAGTAATCATGTAACACTCGAAACCGATTAATAAGATGTATTGACTATATTAATACTATATACTATATTAATAGATATTTCTCAATATTATGTATGTTTAGCGATTGTTTTTACTGTAGTATTTCTACCATCTGTCAGTGATGTGTTATTAGGATAACTAAACGTTCAAATTTTTAAATTATTTCTAGTTAACTTTATCATCATCATTATAGAAGCCCACCAATACTGTAGGCCTCCTCAAGAGTGCTACAAAGCACGGGTCTGATCCATTTACTTACGTGGTAGAGCCATGCTGCAGTTATATTATAAGTATAGTTGTAGAATGAATGGGTCGGCTCGACCAGGGAAGGACCACGCTCTCACAGAATACCAGCGTGAAATAGTAGCTACATGCTCCAGTGTTTTTTATGGTGAGTGCTGAGAACTGGAGACTCTTTTTACTGGAAACGAGGCATTCCGTCTTAGACTTCCCGGGTGACAACGCATCTACATTTTGATTCATAATTGAGGATAGATGTAGTTGTCTATGGGCCACAGCAACCACCTACCATCAGGTGGACTGTGTGCTCGTTTGTCACCCTATCCTATAAAAAAATTACATATGACGACTTTATGCATTCTTCCCAGGCCGTCTCTCAATATAGTGGTTTTCTATATCTATTTTCTAAGTGAAGTGTAAGGACTTTACTCTACTTGGGAGCCTTTCTTCCTCATCGATTAGCGGTTCATCGACCTGCCTTGCTGTTTTTTGTAATTTATAAACTACCTGCTTTGTGGTACTACAGACCGGTCTTATTACATCTGAACTTCTTTATTATAAAATATTATTTTATTTTATTTTTACTTTATTTATTTAAACTTTATTGGTATGACTTTTATAAAAATGTTAACAAAGTGTGAAGAAAGACCTAGAAACATATAGAACGAAGATAAATATGTAACATGGGATGCGAAGTGTTTGGGTATTGAACTAAATCTAGAGCAAAGATAATAATATGAGTACGTCCAAGTAGTGCATACCGGTATATTGATTATTGGATAAAAGCTATACGGGCTATAGTTTGAGATCCTCCATTACGGACGTAAAAGCAAAGTGGGGATTAACTCCATCGCAAGGCAGGGAAGAGGCGCAATCCAGAGTAAGTTCCATCTGACCAACACTAATTGACGTAAAAAACTTTCAAACATCAGCAGGGAAATAATTAACCCTATCTTTCGTAGCACATGTCAAATTCTCGTCCATACGCTCTTTTTTAATAAGCTGAAATTCTTTTGCATCTGGAAGGAAAAGTAAAAACAAAAAATTGATAAAATAACATTATTCTCCTTTCATATAGATAAAGAAAGCCACAGATCAAATGCAAAAGTGATACATTTTTCTACAATTTCATTTCAAAAGCTTCAGCGAAGAGATCAGGAGATGTTACAGGCAATAAACGCCGTTGAATTATTAAGGGTTGTATTCAGATCGCGAAAAATTGAGATGTCCTATTTAGAACACGCTAATCTATTATCTTGACATCGTGTAATATTTTTTTCTACAAAGAATAAATAAACGATGATTAGGTACCTTAACCTCTCAAACGGCAAGCGTCTAAATTTGACCGCATCGATATTCCGTCAAAATTCAAGAGGTCAAATGTGACCGCACCCACCCACAGCACTTTAAACCATAAATATTTTTGTTTAGAGACTACTTTTCTATAAATAAGTTTGGAATTATAGAACCAATATGAAATTTTCTATCCTTTAGTGGAATAAAAAGTTACTTAGTCTATGGATATTTATTTAAGTTTATTTAAGTTTAATCTAAGTTCATTTCATACGCTATTTTCATGTGAATGTTATTCTGTTGATTTTGGATTTTTCTAGAGTTTTATAAGGGTTTTAGTATAGTGTTTTATTATAAAATTGTAATGAAAGTTTTTATGTGACTATAATTAATCTTTTTACGTAAATAAATTCGAGTAATATATATAGAAATAATTGTGATTTTCACGCCGCTGACATCCGCTTGGTATTATTTTATGTAAATACACAGAATAGAGATTTTTTTATAGATATTATAATGCCAAACTTCTTCATAGAAAAGTAGTCTCTAAATATAAGTTTTATTCATTTATAGTGCTGTGGGTAGGTGCGGTCGCATGCGTCCGCCAAATCTCGAGCGGTCTGCAAGTGATTTTTATGGGGATTGAAGGGTTAAAAGTAATAGTGACGTAGGCGGGGTATGAGAATTCATTTCTCCACTTCGTTTCATGGGGTCATGGGTATCGTGAGAGGCGAGGGAAATGGAAACTGGACGGTCATCATCCATCTATAGAAATTCATCTTAGTTATACAAATAATAAACCAAATTTTGTTAAATTTAATCGTAAACTTTTGAAACCGAATTATCATAAATGTAATTTTGAAAAAATTAAAGATCATTTAAGAAAAGTTAATTGGCATGAACTGTTAAATGACTTGGACCCTGATAGTGCTGTTGATGCTATGTATAAAGAACTTAATTCAGCTATTTTGCTG